CATTGGAGAACTTCACAGGAATCAAGACATTTGGGGTCCAGATGTAAATGTGTACAATCCATCACGATTTCATTCTCAAGAACAACATTCAGCGGCTAATAACTGTACGGAAGTAGATGTTCGTCTTGTTCAAGACAAAGCTCTGCTTCCGTTTGGTTATGGGAGGCTCAAGTGCATTGCCAGTACTTGGGCTCCCCGTTTTGCTGCTGTAATTGTTGCCACCATTCTCAGTAAAGAGGGTGATGAATTCTTGATTGTCCCAGGTCCAATGGAGAATGTCGGTGCTAGAGATGGTTGGGAGGGATGGAAACTTGTCATCAATCATTGACCCTACAGGATTTACGCGGGGTTGCTGCTCAACGATAGCACAGTAAGTCATTGTCCAGCATTGTCATCTAGCAATTATCAATTGATTCTCGCTGATTACATCCGTCCCACAGATCTCTCTCGTCTACGCCCGTGCTGATATGTGGAAGCTCTACTTCTCAACCCAGCCGGGACACCAGTCAATAATACAGCAATGGTTTGAATCTGTAGCTGAGGACTCTTGTTTCCACATCTCCTCCGTCGTCCTTCGGCCGCACTTTTAGTATCCCACATGATATCGGGGAGGAGAATTATCTATGAACTGAGTCAGTGCTAGGGAGAGGTTCTGGTTGACGGTGAATTTATGTTTGGACGGAGCTGACTCCGGCCCCGTCTTAGGGAAATGGGACCTCGTTTTGCCTTGTACAGTTATCTAAGCTCTGCGGTCGTTGTATAGAATTTCACATACATCTGGCACCCCTTTTTCTATAATTAATTTCTACGACTATTAACTACGTGTTCATATTTTTTTTAGATCGGTGTTGGCTCCGAGACTCTGATCGTGCGAGCCCAGTGGAGCGTGGCAGAAAGGTTAGGTTGTACTATATCTAGTTCTGGAGTCGGTACCACAGATATCATCTTCCTCCATCTCGCTGTCCTCGGAGAGATACAAATGAAATTCTTGGACCACATACCTCCAATTGTCGACATCCGATAGAATTGTTCTTGGTCTACATGACTCCGAAAAAGCAATCAAGCAAGCTTACAGTTCATGGTATTATGTATTATGTACAAAAGCGTTACTGATTTTACTAGTTTATCTAGCAATCTAGTGTCTAGTTCGAATCTCTCACAAATACACGCTCCCACCCCCTCCGTAAGTACAAAAGGAACTTGAATAGTCGAAAGTATTAGGTTTATAGTATCTTTCACATTCCCGAGTCAAACACAGGTCAAACACTCTCTGCGTTCACACTACTGATTGGTGTGCTCTGCTACTAATAACTGCGAAATTCAGATTGCGTTCGATTCGATCCCCCCCCCCGTTCACTAGTGCCAATAGGATATTGCCGCAGGATTCGACATGGATGCCGCTAGCACGCCTGATGAGGTATATAGTTTATAATTTCCGATGTTGCCTGGTCACTAACGTTCTTTTCTACCATATCTCAGAATCTAGGACTTAGAGAGACAGCACGGAATGCCATCATCGACTTTATCACCAGGACTGGTATTCAGGATCGTTTGCATCCTCGAACTGCCCACCGCGAAGTCAAAAGAATTGTTCGAGACTACTTCAATAACCATAAATTGGATGGTCCTAACAATGTCAAAGTCGATAAATACATTCAACTTGGGCTAGACTATATCGGAAATTCGTTCTATTATTTTCCATCTTACCAGGCTCAAGCACAAATTGCCATCGGTACAGCTCTCACTTTCCTCTTCGACGATGGGTTCATGGGGGAGGAAGCGATGCACGAAATGGTTCCTCGTTTCTTTGCTCGCCGATCGCAACTCCATCCCATGCTTGACTGGTACATCGAGTCAATGACGAGTGGTATGCAGCCGTATTTCTCAACTTACAGTGCCAACGCGATCGGATCCAGTTTTTTGGAGTACTGTAACTCGGAGATGCTCCTACGACGCCACAAAGATATATCCTTGATTCCGGATTCATCGAGATATATCGAATATATTAGAATGAAGGAAGGCATGGCGGAAGCTTATGCAGCATTTATTTGGCCAGAATGTGTCTGCCCAGATTTAAAGGAATACCTACAAGCTCTTCCGTAAGTTTTCAAGACTTCCGATTGGCTTCTTTACTCATTCACTCCGATACGTTGGACAGCGATGCGATGACCTTCATTTGCTTTGTGAAGTGTGTCCTCCTTTCAATTTTTTTTTGTTTCATACTTTGCTCATAAATTATACAGCGACATTCTTTCTTACTACAAAGAAGCAAAGAGTGGAGAAACTGGTGGACATATCCTTTCGTATGTCAAAGTCCACAACGTCACGGAAATAGAGGCATTGCGTGCACTCATTGACCAGACTGTAACCATCGTGGATCGAATCAGGGTACTGGTTGTGGATGGAGAGGCTCGAGAAGCATGGGAATGTTTTCTGGCTGGATTTACGCAATTTCATTTGTCCGCTGAAAGATATAAACTAAAGGAAATTGTCCCGGAATATTGCTAGATGGGATTATAGATGTCGGCTCTGGTTCGTCCACAAGTGTTAACGTTGTCGTTTTGTTTGACTTTTGGAAAAACTTAGCTAACTCCGAAAGTCTCGATTGAGTTTCATCCCTTCTGGATCTCGATTCTACCACCATAGTCATTGTGCATTGTGTTACATGTTCATTTTTCAACTACATGATTGAAGGATATCGTTAACTCTAGAAATCTAGATATACGAGTCAATCATCTCACAACAAACCCATCGCCATATCCCAGAATCCTTTTTCCAGTCTCGTACATTTCTCCCAAACATTACACCAATCTTTGAACCGAGCAGGAGAAGGAGGATCAGCTGCAGCCATAGCTTCGATGGTATCTTGAAACCGAAAATCAAAATCACTATTGAGATACAAAACGAAGAACCGACGATACCTAATCCAGCTTTCACAGCAGCTTGATAATGTGGACCAGAATAATCTTCCATCCATTTTGCGTATGGATTTCCCTCAGTTACTACCCAAGTGTTTGGTTTAGATGATTCTTTCTTTAACCAAAGACCGACTTCGCCATATCCAAGAAGGCATGCCGCAACAGCCATAAGAAGTTTGTTTGTGTCACCTTTGAAATAAATTATTCATGAGGGAAGATACTTGTCATAGATCAGACGATTTCAACAAACCTTGAAGTCCGACGTCTAAGATGTAGGCACCATAAGCTGTGGTGGCAGGTGATTCTGGAGTAGTCTGCAATTCTTCTTCTGTGATTCCCCATTGAGCACAAAACTTTTTGTGAGTTTGGACTTCGTCAATGACATTTATGATAGTTCGGGTAGCGATATCTATGTCAGTAAATGTAGAAGATTTCGCTGCGAGAAGCCTGAAGGATTGGGATCAGATAGTGCGATACCGACCAATGCGGAGACATACGAGTAAGCTCTTGCATAATATCTCAGGTATAAATAGTCTTGTCTGGGCGATGATGAGTGCTCAGTCCAACGTGATCGCTTCAAAGTCAACGCTTACTTGATAAAATGAAGGAAGCACTCTCGCGGAAGTGTACCCTTGGCCAGTTGCTTCACAAAGTCGTGTTCGACGTACTCTTTCCATATCTTCGAGGAAGAGTGGATTAGTAACCGAGTGAATGGGTGCGGAACAGTCTTGGTCGGTCTGCAAATCACTCCGATTAGCGAGACGAACTAACAATCGAAGATGTACCCACCGAGGTATGCTTCGCAGTGTCACAGCATGCATGTGGTTCAACGGCCCGTATCCTTTCCCTATTGGAATCGCAGTTTCGATACCTAGATGAGTGTACTCCGTGGCTAACTTCGTAGCCTCGTAAACTGCGACAATTGATTTCAGTCCGAGATTCTATACTAGAGCATAACACTCACCAGTTAGTCCGCGGCTTAAACCACATGCCAGTGCAGCCGATAGAGTACATCCAGTTCCATGAGTACTGGAAGAATCGATCCTCGGACATACGAATAATGTTGTGCTATTCTCTTCTCTCAGGATATCGATCACGAGAGGATCAGAAGACAAATCCCTCTCGGCTGTTTGCAATATCTCCATATTCTCCCCTAACAGACCGTCCTTTTCCACGCGGATATTTCGCACCGATCGGAAAGTAGATTGTAGAGAGTTGACATCACTCAGTGACGCAGTGATATGACCGCCTTTGAGAAGAACAGCTTTGGGGCCAAGAGTTAAGAGGTTGTCGGCAGCGATAAGCATGTCTTGGAGGTTATTTATGGTTGAGGGTAGGTTGCGACGAGAGAGGATGAGTTCCGCTTCTGATTTGTTGGGCGTGATTACAGCCGTTAGTGGGAAAAATTCGTGGATTAGAACTTCCACGGCTTCTGGTTGAAGGAGCGTGTGTCCCGACGTCGATACACACACTGGGTCACAAACGATAGGTGGAAGAGCTTTGCCCCCATAAGACTTGAGAGTCTTGGTTAATGAACGGATGATGCTCGCGTCATAGAGCATTCCAGTTTTGATACCACGAATGTCAATATCGTCCAACACTGAACGTATCTATATATTGTTTAACAAGTCATCAGCGTGGATCTTCGCAGAAAAGGACCAAATGCAGACTTGTTGTTCGACGAACTCTGGAGGGCAGGGATGCACCGCCTGAACACCGGTAGTGTTCTGTGCTGTCAATGCGGTGACAACACTTGTTCCATAGCATTTATGTGCAGTGAATGTTTTGAGATCAGCCTTGTTACAATGTCAGCAGGTGAAAATGATTCTGTATCGACCGAAAATCTAGTACTTGAATCCCTGCACCACCGCTTGAATCTGTACCTGCAATTGTTAGTACTGCAGGTTGATTTTCCATATTAAACAGTGAAAATGAACTGATTCCGGGGAATTTGAAGTTGAGATGGTGCCAGTTGTGTTTGGGACTGAGTCAAAATTGTTTTCGGAGATATGATAATCACGCGTGTACGGCGCTAGGGGGGTGTAACTCGTTCAAGTATAAGTTAAAAGAGTGGTCCTCAAGTCCCGTTTAGCTCAGTGGTGGAGCGCATCACTAGTAATGATGAGGTCAGTCGTTCAAGTCGGCTAATGGGAATAATCTTGAATAGGTTCGGGTTTTTATGCCCACAAGCCTAAGAGAAAAAGCGTGAAAGGATTGAATTTAGTTTTTAGGAGCTTAGTCAGCGTGCCGAAATTGAAACACATATTTTAGCGCTGCAATTTGTAACCTTTTCACCTTGTGAGAGATAGCAGACTTCGTTATGGTATCAACTACGTGAGCTGTTGGAACCCATGAATTCATAATTTTCTGAGCAGTTTTCGCAGTGTGGGCTACGACTGTTGCAGAGCTATTAGTATGTGGGATGATGATGTGTGGAAAAGTGTCACGTTACTTACTCACGGGTAGTCCTTCGGCACGCTTCGTTATTTCAGATAAATCGACGACCGTTTTGCTACGACTGAGGACGGATAGACCAACACTGTAGCCGCCTCCATAGCCTTTTAATGTCTGAGTATTATCTTCAATGTCACGATCAATGGGATTAATCACATGTGAATGATCCTCCACCATGTTTGCAAATTAACAAATTGATTAGATTATATTAGATTGCGATTCAGTGGAGCATTTGCTTGTCCTTATTATTTTTGAAAGCCTTTGACTTATTTGGTAATATACCCAGTCTCACGAGTTGGTTCATCTAGGCTGTCAGTGTCCAATTCCCCGAATGCAACCACGTATCCCATCATTGGCTATCGCCCCGTTTATTCTCTCAATACCCGCAATGTCATCCAGCAAGTTTTGAACTATTCAGACAACATATTTCTTACTGTGACTGTTTCTCAGGAGCTGGCGCAACAACCATCAGGCCTCGTCATCCATCCCTCGTTGACTACTCTCGGACAAGTAGGCGAACTTCGTGATGTTCAGCTTGTATCAGTGCCGGAAGTAAATGGAATACTATGTATAACGAAGTGATCAGTTTTTTACAAGGACTTACTGCAATGTCAAGAGTGGAAGTGTTAGATTCTCCGAAGCAAAGGGTGAAGCGAGGGGGCGATGAGCTTCGATCTAGAATTGTCACATTGATTCATCGTGAGTATAAAATTTTCAAACAATTAGACCAACCGATCTCATGTTTACATAGGAGTACTGTGTGACCCAGTGCAGGACTTTCAATTCCTGACTTCTGCTCGAGAAGACCGTACTTGAACTTATATACGAGCAATGTCGGTTACTAGCCCCGGCATTCCAACGCATCATGCTTAATCTCGATGGCTGACCTCTATAGTCTCACCTCTGTACTTATAGAGCATTATGCCCAGTTACCGACGGTGCAGTCTTGGGCGATAATGGTGCGAAACAAGGATAATTCAAGCAACAGTGGGGGATTTGAGCAGAAGGAATTGCAACTAAGCGGCGATGTCGGTCGGGACTCGCAACCTCCAGCTTGTGCGGAATATAAAAATTGAAAGGCCCTAACAATATCTGTACACAGAAATACTGGGTATATAATATACTGAGTGAATATTGGTTATCTGTGATCATAGTGCTTCTTTCACCTGCGCAATCCTTGCATCCAATAATGTCAGAACGGTATCGACTCCTTTGAGTACTCCTTCATCTGGCCCTTCACCCGGGACAATCTTCGTATGAGCAAAGTCTATCAACTTGACACTGTACGGCATCCCAACTTTCTTTGGTTTCCCTTCCTCATCATCATCCTCATCTTCGTCTTCATCTTCTTCCGCTTCCAATTCTGCCTCCAGCTCCTCAAGCTCTTCTTCGAGATGCTTCAATCCCTCCTCGGCACGTTCCCAGTCAGCCTCATAAACCACCAACAAACTTCCACCAACCATTCTCATATGAATTTGCGAGAGTGCATCTCGAATGTCTGCAATGTCCTGACGGAGAGATTGCAATATTGGAAGCAATATTTTTGCTGGAAGACCTGTGCCAGTTATTGGTGTTTCATCTTCTTTTGTTGGTGTTGGAGATGGTGAGGCCACGGGGAAGAATCGGGAGATTCCTTCAGGGAGATCTGCGGGTGTGATAGACTTGCCATAGGTTTTTGGTGTGTTTATGGGTACCCCAGACTCTAGATGATAGACCTGTAGTCCCCATATTCTCAATAATCAGCCACTGGAATTGTACGCAAACTCACCTGGAAACCTGTGAGTCGAATGCCAGTTTCTAATGAGGTAGTCTCTCTCGCAGTTTTCTCCATCCTCGCTCGTTTCTCGGGGGAAGCTTCATCGTCATAGAGGATAGTGCCCAGCTTGATATCAAGGATGTTAGGCTTGTGAAATCGGCATGATATGTTCTCCAAAACTATGCTCTGTGAATAAAATGATACAAATAAGCACTTATCGATCGTCCTTTTATGCGTTTAGAACTCATCTTTGTTCATCCCATTGTTGATGGAGGTAAGTTTGATTTCTCCTCCCTCCACAACCTCGCTATTGTCCACTTGACCCTCCAACTTCAATGTCCCATAAAATCTTGGAATGAATGGTCTCAAAGGAGCGAAGCCAGGATCGGTGCCGACCGATTGATAGAAACTGACTTCGACGGGGAGTGAAGGTTTGATGAGGAGGGATCCATCTTCAGTAGTCATTACTCCTGCATGACCACCAACTTGTGAGGACAGAGGGACTGTGTTCATCGCTGTCTTGAATGCAGTGGTTAGTCAAAGATGTAGTTCAAGGCACTACATGTACATCAAATCAATACTATCAATCGCGCGCTCTTCCAGTAGTTGAATATTGCGATGCACAATTCTTGTGTGGACAATTGGATCGGTGGCCTTAATACGTGTACTGTACAGTGTATGGTGAGAGGAAGGGAAAGCTGTTGCCCAACGTTCAACCTTCAAGTTGATTTAAAGAATCTACGGATTTCGATTTCGGCACGACTAAGCTCCAAAATCAAATTCAATCATTTCATATGATTGTCCGAACGACCATTGTAGCACGATACAAGCAAAGTGCGTTCAATTAAAAGCAGCATAGAATAAGGCAATATTGGGATTTTGATGTCAATTGAAAAGTAGCGAAGGGCATTGAAGTTGATTGAAGGTTTCCAATTTCGGTGGGGAATTTTTTTTTACACATATATCCGGGTAGTACTACGAGTACATACAATACGTACTGTGAGATACTTTGAGCCCAGGGTTGAATAGAAGGATATATGAAGAAGAACAGGTGTCAAAGAGTAAAAAACAGACGAGAGAGATGGAGAGATGAGAATTTATATAAGCAAGACATAGGCCGCAGTTCGGAGAAGAGAGAAGGAAGAACTTGACCTGTGGATGATGGCAATGACAAGATTGCAAAAAAAAAAAACGGCGAGAGAAAGCAAAAAAGCGATATATCAAGAAACACGTTATAAAGAAAGGCCTGTTTGGGTTTGGGTTTTAAGGGTGATTTTCGACCGCTATTCCTCTTCTGGCAGCGTTTTGATATTCGAATGGATTCATGACTTGACAAGAAGGTCTTCCACATAGAGTATTCGGGAGAAATTCATCACAAAGGGACTGGCTATTGATTGAAAAAAAGTTAAAGTTAGTTAAAAATCTGAAAAGGGGGATTGGAATAGGATTTTGGAAGGGATGATATTTCAGTTGGATATGAATAGTACGCACGACATCGACATGAGTCCATCAGTGTGAGCTAGACAGGTCTTCAACTTCTTGCGGCTAACATTCACGCTGGGGGAAACGATATTGAGAGTCAAACTCGGTGATGAATGGAGGACAAAAAAGCGAAGAAAAACTTGCATACCACTTCAGCGTAGTGTAGCCACCGATGTCCGCAATGACTATAAGTTCTGAAGATTCTGAAATACTCGCACATACTTGATGCTATTGGTATTTATTTCAATGGAATACGTTTGGTGGTGGTAAGGTGAGAAGTAGGAGTTGAGCGATGTGGGGATATGGGGCAGGAGATTGATTTCTTCGGTTTGAACTTTTCGCGCATGTTGGGAGCTCTTTAAATACCTGTTGAAGGAGACCGGAGATGATGATGCCGAGTGACTTGATTTGAACGGAGTGGCATAATTTCGTTCAAAGGGGCCTATAACCAATGTGCCGTGGCCAAGAGAGCAACGGGATCATAGAAATTGGTCAAGGAGCGGTGGACACTGCTAGTAATTTGGGCTAATCGAACAAAAAGACTGTTAGAGTTTTGTGCCACATCATGTTGTCTGACGCAACTTGAACAAGATTTTGAAGAAGAGGGAGGTCTGAGTTCTCCGCACCCCTCCAGTGGCGAAAAACGTCGAAGCCACGAACAAGGTGGAGATGTAAAACCCTAAAAAAAGTATGATTAATGGTTGTTGTGTAGGTAATAATTGAATGAATATTTCAATGTGCCCGTATACTGTAGATCACTGCGCATTTTTGGGACAAAAGATTAAGGGTCAACGAGCTGCTGTCAACTAGAGCGCTTAATAATAGATTTCCGGATTGTTCTCCACACAGTCGTCAATCCAGTGATATTCACTTGACGTTGCATAGGTCAACACCGGCATTGCCCGTACCTGGGCCAATGCATGTCGCACTCAATCTGTATCCTGCTGCAGTAGTGTTTTTGGTTATGAGAACAGAGAGGGTTTCTGCTAGGGACAACGATGTGAGCAAACAATGCTGCTCATAATATGAAAAAAAAGAATCGTACATGTTATCTGCAGGTTCGGTCCGAGTGAAGATATCGTTTTGTTCACACATCTGTGATTTCTGAAAGTGTGATGTGCTTGTCTTGAGTGTGTGATCCTCAGACGTGGTGGATGGTATGCACAAAGGCTCGAATATGATGAATATGTCTAGGGTCTGGTACTAAAGGCTTGTTTGTTTGTACAGATATCATTACACCATCCTCCTATACAAGCATGAGATCGATTGGTCTCAGCGTTCAAAAATCTTACACTCACAATGTATTAATGTGGGTATTTGAGATCACAGCTCATCGCCCCCTCGCTTCACTCTCTGCTTCGGAGGATCTAACACTTCCACTCTCGACACTCCAGCAAGTTCTTGTAGAGAACTGATCACTTCATTATGAATATTGTCCCATTTCGCTTTCGGTACTGATACA